CCCCTATGTTAGGTAAATTTACACCGACGCCACTACTGAACTGACTGCTGCTCTACTATAGTAAATTCCGGTGTAGCACTAATTTAAAAGGCCTGGCTACTCTTTTAAAAATTCATTAATAATTATAATATTTTAAAGTGGAGTAGGCACAGGCCTAGCTAAAATTTTCCCGGAAAATCGGTGGCAGATTTGCAGAATTCATAACTTTTTGCTATTGGTTATGGATATACTGTAGTCATTAAACTCATGAAGGTCTATGATTCGGCAAAATATATGCGGAAAACGGCCCTTATTTTCCAACATGCCCGGACAGATGATTTCTATTTCAGGCACGGAGGATACCTGTCAACTGTATAGCAGTATATGGCCTAGGCCTATGTGTTGAATTCAATGGCCAAGTAGCAGTGGGTATTACATGAATGCTGATGTTGTTACCCACCATCTGGCAAATCCTGGTGCTGCCACTGGTCCCTGTCATGTGAAGGCTTGCAAAGTTAAATAAATGATATTTTTCTATTTTCATTTCTTGATAGTTGGGAAGATGTAGAAAATTCATGTATTTATATTAAGGACGAAAAAGTGAAGCAAATCTTCAGTGTGAAAGCAAGTAATGTGCTTGGTGATTCTGAGATGGTGAACACTACATTTAACAGTAAGTGCAATTTTGTGTGTTATAGTTTTATTTCAACAAAAACAGTGGTAACGTGTATTCCATTATTTGCAACACACTGTAAGCCCTGCAGGGAAAATAAGCCATTCTGTATGGCAGTGATATGTTGGAGTAGAATAGCTTGGTGACTTAAAGCTTGCCTTCCAATCTCAGGGTTGCGGATTAAATTCCTGTTAAGCCGGGTCACTGCATCTGATGGTCGTCGGCCAACGCGATTGTTTTTAACATGGGGCGGAGTTGGATTTGTCAGCTGTGTCACACGGTGTGCGAGTGCCTGGCTTCAGTGAGGAATTGCAGCATGTTATTTTGGACATATGGCCAGGAAAATTTGCCCCGTCCCTGTAAGGGACATTAGACCCCACTTCGGGGAATCTCTGACACTAAACTCCCTTCAGAACACCATTTGGAATAAATGCGCTCCGTGAATAAACATCACCATTCCCCTTAACGGCTGAACAAAACTATGAAAGCAACACCTTTCTGTTTTTAATATTTTATTTCTAGAATTACATTATTGCTAACCTGAGATGAACTATATCATAATGTAATACAATATTGTACAATTTTGTGTTGTGGTCTAAATTTCAAGTAAAAGGGGAATTAAGCGCTATCGGTTAGCAAGTTGAGCGCGTTTCTATCATCAAACAATCACACATACGCGTTTAGAATTTCCATTTTCTTATTGGCCAGTGATTCGATCATCATATTTTTGGTATCCGGATTGGGATTTTCTCGTATGGACTCACGGCAGCTAACGGTTAGCAGGATCCGGATCCTGCTAACCGTTAGCAGCCGTGTGAGAACATAGCCTATGAAAACATGAAAATTATTATGTCAGTGTGGTTTTTCTGTGAAATAAATTGCCACGCTATACAATATAATCAATCTCAACACATTCAAAAGATTCTACTCCAGTAGAATTTCATTTTTTCTGACTTGGTTGGGATCAATATGTCTTCATGATCATAAAATTACTTATTTGAATGGAATTTTTTTGTTGTAATTCCACATTTACAGTGATATTCAGGGGCGTTTATTTGAGTATATATTATTTTAGTATTTTTTACATTATTTTGATACTCTTTTTATACTAGGCATCAATTTTAAGATGCATAATTTAGATAAAGTGTACTAAAAAATTTTCATAATATTTTAATATTTTAAATGCCTTTTAAATTATGCTTGTTTTACTACTGATTTTTAACTTTAGATTTATTTTATTAAGTATTTGTTTTTTTGTCAAAAGGCCCACTTTTCAGTGATTTAATTAGTTCACATTTAGGGTGTTCCTGTTTTATTTTTTTTTGTTCTTGTTGTTCTTGTTCCTTGTGCTGTTTGTGTTCTTGTAAATTGTAATGTTTTTGAGACAAATGAAATGAAATGAAGATGTAATACTTTCTGATTTGTGCATGGGAATAATTTTACCTTTTCCGCTCTTTTGTTTTAACACTAAGCAAATTATGTTCCTCTTTTTCCTGACTCTAGCATTGTGTCCTTTTCCTCTGGTTCTGGCACTAGGGAAAGATCGTACCCACTTATCTCTCAAATTCTTCCATAGCAGCAGATTGGGTTAAAATACTGAAAATGACCATTAAGATTTCATTGGAATTGGGATTTAGTTTGACATTCTCATTTTTCACACATGTCCTCCCTCTGAAAAAGAAACCAACCTATATCCCCTGCACTGGCATGAAACGTGACCTTTGCATCATTCTGGCACGGTAAAGCCAGGCTCTCACAACGAATCCAACACCGCTCCAATCAATGCGATGCACTCTGAAATGATTGCCATTAAAAACGGTCTGTTGCGCGTGCGTCGTTGCATTGCGATCTCTGTAGAATCACATCAGCCTTCAACCATTGGGCATAGTGAGTGATATTCTGTTTCATATCAATTTTTTTTTTTCAGTTACAATTCCTCCTCCTGTTGTCTTTGGAACATTTTTCAATAATGAAACTATGTTATATGTTAACTGGACCATATCGAATCCAAAACTAAGTCACTTTATACGCCTACTTTGGTACAGAGATACTTTTCCAAAACCTGAAAATTGGACTGAAAAGGTAAATACGATGCAAAACTTATTTTATATCATACAAATATGGAGATAATGATGCTAAGTGATGCTAACATCAACATAGGGGTCGCAGGTTTTCTCCTGCATGTCCAGAAATTGGCAGATAACTTTTGTGAGCAAGCTGCCATTAATCCGGCTGATTTGCATGTTTTAGTACTGTATCAGTCAGTTCATTCCTTGTGGCGATGTGCATCACTGCGAACAGAAAATAAAATGTTATTAATGGTTCATTAATTCCTTTTTGAAATGGTCTCTTCCAACTTGAGACTCCTGTTCTGTTTTAGGTCTTCATTCTATTGTGACTTATTCTTATTAACACGTCAAGTGTGAGTTATCTCGTCCGTTTTTGCTTGGGTTGTTATATGTTCAAAGGGTGCCCCCACTTGTGCCGCTTGAGTGTACTACCGGCAACATAACACAAATAACATACATACGTCATCTGTATGTTATCGTCTAGGTGTATCGTCCCCAACCTACCAGCCGTTGAGTCTGTGGTTCTACAATATATAACAAAGGAGTTATAAATGTTAGAATGTTACACTGATTTTGACGAGTATACTCATCTGTGGCCCCCTCAGCTACACCCTCTGTGCGAGGATACTCGTCGCTGGCAGCCAACGTGTTCAATTCAATTAAATTTTCAACTCAATTTATTGCTTCAATACGCCATCAAGGGCCATTATCTGCTAACAAATGTGACACAGTACATAGCAATAAAAATTACAAGATAAAATTCAATGAGAAGATGGGTTAGAAGGAGTCTGAAAAGGAGACTTAGGGCGTGTTTCTGCTGAATAATGCCAAAAACACATGTTTTTCATAAATGGTTAAATTTCCTTCTGAACGCGTTTCTAGTGAAAAGTGCAACTAATAAAAAAAAAACGGTAATGCGAGCATTGGCAGGTGGGTGGAGCTTAAATGACAGTCACCAACGGAAGTTGAAGCTGACCTTACTTCTTGCTAACTACAGCGCATGCTGCGAAAGAAGTAAACAACACACCACGAAAGTATAAAAAAAGTATGGTATGATCTTCAAGCATGTCATCCTATTATTTTAATTTTTTCTTCGCCCCGAAGAGGTCAATTTTGGTCACTGATGGGTCATGACTAACACGGTATTGCGTTGCAGCTGAAAAGTGTACCACAAAACACGCGAACGTGAACCCTATAACGAATGCGTGTAAAAACGCGCATTTTTAGAACGCATTCCTAACTGTGTTTTTGTTTTGTGGCCCGTTTATACTGGGGAAATCTTTCCGAGGGTGTAGAATGTGTTTCAGGTTTCAAAAGTCGCGATATTAATCTAATTAAATATGGTATGATACGTAGAATGTGTAGATGAGTCTGAAATTATTTTATAAAAAAGATATTCGATCTAGTTCAGTAAGTTAACTTCACACATTGGGAGTATACCATAAATTTAACATGTGTATTCCATGGCAGAGAGTATGAGATTTGAATAAAAGGGCAAGATTAAGGTGTTTGAGGATGGACAATTTACAGATACAGGACTTGTAAAGAGGGATGATTTGGGAATGCCATTTTAAGTTGTGAGAGATGATAATTCTAAGGTTTCTACAAATTCAATTTGGGATTGGTGGAGACAAATTGGTAGTGATTGAGTTGAGATTTGCCAAACCATATATTTAAGACCTTGCATTTGTGAGCTGGGGCTTCAGGATTTTGCCGACAAGGCCTGTGCCCCCTTAGACTCCCCCGGCATCACCACCATCGCAATTAAATGTATATGCATTATTATTTTAACTGATTGATAAAATGTTTGTTTTGATTACTTAGGGCATTTTATTTATGAAATTGTATGAAATAGAAGTGGGTGCTGGATACAGTGAATATGAGATTAAAGTAGCCGTTACTCATAAAGAATCTGATCAAGTCGTCTGGTCTAAACCGTTGTTAGTTTTAAAGCATGAGACAAGTAAGTTTTATCACAAATTTATTTTTATTTAATTATTTTGTTTTTGGATTGTTTAAGATTTATATGAAACACTAAATTTTTCCCTCTGTCTTTAAGATTCAGTCATACACAATATTGACCATCATGAATAAATGTACTTTGAATTTTGAACTTCATTCCCTCGGGAGTATTTCTGGTTATGCGTGTAATTCAGCAATACCAATTTCTTTCCAAACATTTATCTGCTAGGTAGGGCCCATTTACACTGCAGGAAGAGAAGCAGATGTAGGTAAAGTGTCTTAACTAAGGACACAACAGCGTGGTAGGAATTGGTCTCCAACCCACAATTGAAAAATATATCACCAAAGGAATTATTACCAAGTGGTGGCTCCAGGGGCTTCAACAAGTCCTATTAAAGTGGTCCAGACCAAGAGGCTTGCATTGGTCAGGATCTTGGTGTAAATGTCAAGGGAGAATTTTAAAAAATTGTTTAGGATGGTAAAAAAAATTGTGTGTTTAGGCCATAATTTTAGAAACTCCATTCCATTTTTGATCATAAAATTAACATCAGGTAACATCCGATCAATGGCTCTTTGCTTGTCAAAAGGAGAGAGATTGTCTCCTCTGATCCCCTGCTCTTCCCCCTTCCCCCACTGTTAAGGGCTGATTATACTTTCAACAATGGATAACGCTAAAAAGCAATGAACAATTGCTTTTTAGCTTTTTATCGTTATCCATTGTTGCAAGTATAAACAGGCCTTTATCATCTAACAATAAGTATAACTTTAAAGTGTATAAGTAGATAAGTCATGATGATGACATATGTCTTTCGATTTACTCACCATTACATGAGCATTGCATCAAACACCAAAGGACTCACCATTTTTTTTATAAGAATACATTTTATAAGAACCATGAGGTGGAAATTGCTTAAAATTTTAGAGCAAAATATGAACAAATTGAGGTTAAAAATGTCAAATAAGGTTTAAAAAAAAAATAGAAAAACCAACAAATCATATATACACCTACACCTTATTTGCAGTTGGTGTGACTATGTAATGGCCTCTATAATACATAAGGCTTACAGTAATATACTAGGCTCCTGCTGTACAACAAATTGTTCTAATTTATTATTATTATTAAATAGTTAGTAAATATTGTTTGCATTATCTCAATCATGGTTTACTTTGAATATCAATGCACCAGCAAACATCTCAAGGGTGATATTTGGCTTTAGCAAAATAAAAAAAATAGCCTCCTTCCATCATCACTTTTCCAGCCTAGATAGGGTGATAAGCTATATTTTTTATAGGACCTAATCAATGCTTTGTTATGAGGGTTACAAAACTCAAGCAAGCATCCGGACAGAGCAAAATAATTAAGCTAAAAAACTAAATAATAATTAAATTTGAAATTGAGCTCTGTAGTATTGGAGGATTACCTTTTGAATGTGTCTTTGGTCATTTCGAAATTTTAAAAAATAGCTGAATAGTTCTTGATTTATGATTAAAATATGTTGTCATCTCTGAATATTCTTTAAGATTCATTTATTTTTCTTTTTTACAGGACCGAAGGGCAATGTGTCTGGTAACTGCAGATGGAGTCAAGAACAGAGTAATCACATGATATGCAGTTGGGACGTAAGTTAGACACCAACAAATTGACAAGAATTATAGAAATATAGATTTAGTTTAAAAAACAACCAATAGGGAGTTCACGATCCCTAACAGTGGTGTAAGAATGAAGTTCTATTTTTTGTGTTGCTTTTGTGTGCCACTGTACACAGTGGTGACCTTAAAAATTTGCTGGAAGGGGGTGCGACAAGGCGCCTGCAGCAGGGTCTCGGTGTTAAAAAATCTGTGGTAAGGTTCATGGACAGAGTTTTTATGGTTTAGTAATAGGCCAAACTTATGCTTCTAGACCACAGTATTAGGGATTGGCAGAAAAAATATCGTTATTTGGATTAGCAAATTGATGTATTTAGTAGGATGACCTCTTCATGGCATCACACGACGGGTTCCCCAGGCCTGTCTGATGTGGCTCCAGGCCTGTCCAACAGGAGAAATTGCTTTCTCTGACAATTGCTGGAGCTGCCATTTGCTGTGCATTCTTTGTAAATAGACGTTTTTTTTTAGTGCATTTTCTTACATGTGTTGAAAAAATTTGTTTTCTTCCAGGCACTTCCTATAGATCAGCATAATGGTAGACTTCGTGGGTACCATGTATCTGTATTTAGAAAAGATGGAAAGAATAAGAACGTGAGAGAAGCAAATATCAGCAACGAAGTATTAAATGCTGAATTTGAAGGTAAAATAATGATATGAACTGCTTGACTACCTCCACTTCCATACACTTTTTTTCATCTCCTTCTTTTCAAGTATATATGTATATATGTGAACTGCTTGACTACCTCCACTTCTATACACTTTTTTTCATCTCCTTTTTTTCAAGTATATATATATATATATATATATATTTGTGCTGTCAAATTGGTTCATATAGAAAATAAAATAAGAGAAGTTTTCACACTAGCATGATTCGATAATGATTTAAAAAAATAATTTCACAAATTGAATCAAATGGCATTGTATCATGAGAAAATGGTAAAATCATTTTTACCTCTACGATTTTATCGTTTCCCCATGATTATGATATCATTTGGTTTGATTTGTGAAAGTATATTTTTATCGTATACATGATAAATCGTTATCTAAATGTGAAAACTTCTCTTACTTCTTTTATTTTCTATATGAACAATTGCTTTGTAGCTTTTTATCGTTAATCATGACCGTCATAGTGTAAACATGCTTTAAGGTAGGGGTGGACTTTGCCTGAGGTGGGATACATGTACAGATAAGAATGGAACTATGATACATGTACAGATAAGAATGCATCTTCTGTAACATGTTCTGATCTTTGTAGGTGCTGCATTTGTTTCCACATGTCTTCAGGGACCAAATTCAAATTTTCTCTTGAATTTGAACAAGAAAAATATATAAAGCTTGCATTTTAAATTTATATTTTAACATTTAATCATGTTCATAGGACTACCAATGAAGTATAATTACACAGTAAACATCAATGCATACAATTCTGCTGGCTCTACAACCATACTCTCATTATCAGTTGGTCGCCAACATCCGGGCGGTTTGGGTAGGTTATCATTTCATTTCATTTCTTTAGGCACGAGTGCTAAGGATATGCCAATAGGTGAAATTAATCAGTGTCCTACGTGGCATATATCCATTTAACAACAGGGGACTTAATGGACCAGTTCACCAGGGTAGCCTCCTACTATTCTCGAAGGATGTAATAGGTTCTTTAAAGTGGACACAAACCAAATGCGTACACTGGGCCTACGGTTTAAAGTCCTTATCCGAGAATACTTGTTCCACCACCGGAACCATTGGCGAGTGAGCCGTTCAAACCAGTGCCAATATTAGAGCTGAAGGTTACGGTGCCCCTGACTTAACCGCTCATGTTCATTCTGTAAACTTTCGGACCAACTCTATTGAGGGGCCACTTCGCATTTCCTCTTCATAATATTGCACAAAAAATAGTAGTATCAGCCACCGCCAGACTTTAACCAATTTTAACACTTTTCCGAAGCTCGTTGAGTGCACCTATGTGATTAGATTGACAATTAGTGAATACTACAAGAACTATAAACATTTTAGCTTTACAATGGTACCAAATACTTTAGTGTAATAACAATCTGTGGCCCGTAACAGTAAAATGAAAATTACTCACTTTTGGAAGTTTACACAACGAAGCTGAGATAATCGCGATTTCTAGAAAGTAAATCAATACTGCTCTACGCTAAATGTAAACAAACAAATAGTGAATACTTACGGTCCAGACTGAATGCAGTGTTCAGATTGTTAGTACATGTCGGTAATTACCCCATCTATCGGATTCCATAAAAAAAACCTGAAACACGCGTGATCTCCGTGTTTGGCGGTCAAGCGTTACGTTACCAAACACGGAGATCTCCATGTTTGGCGGGCAGAGTGTTAATAAAGAGATACCTCTCTGGACAACCATATGCTTAGAAATCTTCAATCATCTCTCTATGCGTATAACCATGGAGGAATATAATATATGTATATTTCCTCCATGGTATAACCTGCTGTTAATGTTCAATTGACATGTGGTTAATGAGTAAATTCTCACCATTTTCATTTTATATAATTGCGCCAAAACATTAAATTTAAAGAACAACTTCAATAAAGAGATACCATATCTGGACCATCATACTGTATATGCTTAGAAATCTCTACCCATCTCTCTATGCATGTACTGTGCGATTGAAGGTGAACTGACATGTGTTTAATGAGCTAATCCTGATTGGTATCAGTCTACACACAGACCAAGGAAAGTATAAATAACTGCACAAACATATTTTTACTGTTTCCTCTTTATAATAAAAAATAACTTTAATAAAGAGATATCTGTACTACTATATTATGTACTTTAAATCATCTCTCTATGCATGTAACCTGCAATTTAAGTTCAAGTGACATGCGGTAAATGAGCTATTCTTGATTGGTATATCGGCCTACACACAGACAAGGAAAGAATTATTATTTATACATCTGTTAATTGATGATGAAAATATGTTATTTTTTTATTCTAATTTCCAATTACTGTATAATAATGAATACTGTCTGTGGATGTACAAAGTTAGAAGATTTTATTTTTACTTTCATCAGCTCTTGGTTATATTGTCTCGATTGTATGTACTTCCATCCTGATGCTGTTCCTTATCACACTATTGTTGGTGCGATGCATAAAGAAGGCTGACTTTATGAAACCTTTACCAGAACCAAAATACTTTTACTCGAGCGAGGTTTGTGTTGTTAATTTAATAATTTTTTAAAATTCAAATTCAGTGTAAAATTACCAATAATAGTACAAAGCAATATCTAAAATCTATATGTCATGATTTTTAAACATAATTCTTATTGAAACTCGGGGTCACTAGGCCTATGTTTGTTTTTTGTTTTTGTTTTTTTTTTCTAGTTTTCTTTAAGAGTGATTACAGATAGAATAAGCATATGGGTTACCAATATACTACTGGGAAACTAATGTACATTATCCATTGGAAAATAATAACCCACCCATATATTTAAACAATTTTAAACTTAAAATTGTAAACTCATATGATAGGCATTCTCCATCTTGCATACACTTATTAAATTTATTAAATTTAGTTAAATTGAATTGATTTTTTTTTCATCTTACGATGAAATGTATTTTACATTTATGTATTCTAACAACAATTATTATAAAAAAAAACCATCAAAATCACTATATATTTTGTCTTTTTTCATTTTGGGCCACCAAAACATTGGTCTTTGGCCTCTAATTACAATCTCTCTAATTAAACACCACCAACCACCACAGTTTTTCTACTTAGAGAGAAATTAAGAAATGATAAATTATATGGTAGGATGAATATTCCAAGTGTTTTAGATTTAATGTACAGTACCGCTATATGCTGTCAGCCCTATTGATTCTTAAAACATTTCTTGGTAGCCAGATTAATTTCTGCGGTTGTTGTACCCAAATCTACATTACACTGCCCTAGAGCGCCCTCAATTTTAAAATATGGAGTACACATCATCTTTGTATGCAGTGGCAGATCCAGGGGTTTTAGGGGGTTTGATCGAATCACCCTCTGGGAAGAAACGTTAAAATAAAAAATACTACTGGGTCCTGCCTAGGCATAAGTAGGCTTAACCTAAACTAGCCTTCAATTTTTGCAGTTTTTTGGAAACATTTTGAATCCCCCTCCTTCAAATCCTGGATCTGCCTCTGATATGTGCATCATTTTGATATTCATGTAAAAACATAGTTATGGAAAATATTGCATTGAAATCAATATTTTTGGTGGTAGTGATTAATTTGATTGGAATATTCATAATTTATAAAATGTTTTATATATTTTAACTCATTGCAGTGGGGGACACTAGGCTGTGCTGAAAAACACCATTCTGAGGTTGAGACATTTAATGAGTTGAAAAGCAGGAATATGGCAAACGAGAAAGGGGATCAGTCAGAGCGAACAGTTATGTTGCCTCAGAAAGGCTTTGAAGTGAACGAGGATTCTTGCGTAGCAGATGATCAGCAAACAAAACCAGTGATGGAAGTCACAAACTTGACATATCTGATATTAGGTCGGAAGCAGGAACAGCAAAATAATAACATTTCCCACCCTGATCTGAATGAAGACGATCTTCAAAAAATGAACTCCTCAGAGGAAAACTCGGATGATACAAATGTTTGTTACCTTCGTCTGCGCAATGGAAACCTGTTAACACAAGTCCAAAACCATGATAATGCCTCTGAGGTAATGCCAGATGATCCTAATTCACTCTCTATTAATCCCCTCCCCATTACTGTCAGTCCTGTCCAGAACTCAGAAGAAGCATATGACAGTATGTTATCGTCTGAGGGCTATGTATCTGGAAGTGGTACCAGCTGTCTAACTGCATATACACAACTGTCTACAAATTAAGGCTACGTTTAGACTTGGAGATAAGCCAGGTTCGAGTTAAGTTAAGACTTTACTTTGCCGGGCATTCAGACTAGCGGGTTTAGTCAGGCAAAAATTTGCATAATAATGAACCTAACCAGGAAACATGTTTCAAAACATTGCTCGCGAAACGTACGCTCACTCACAGCATACGTAATTGAATGCTGATTGGTCATTTTGTCACCCGAAATCAATGCAAGACCCCCCGCAACGATTAAAGCCCGGCTTCGAAAAGTTAAAGACGGTGGCGCGCCATGCCTAGTTACTATAGGAACACAGCCCGTCTTGAGAATAGCCACCTAGTTCAGACTGGCAGGTGGATAAACCCGGTGAGTTGAGCCAGGTTTATCCACCTAGTCTGAACTAGGCCTAATATGATTTGCAATATTTATAGATTAATAGTAATATTTTATGTGTTTGCCTATAGCCTGATAAGCTTATCTCACAGTGCTTTCCAAAATTACATATTTTATTTTTAGATTTTCCTTGCAATTTGAGACCATCATAGTCTTTTAAAAACATGATTTAAATTTGCAACTGGCACTGTTGTCACAATCTTTGTATAGAAACTGAGTAATTTGTGAATTTAATAGAATATCATGTAATATATCAGGGGTAGACATAATAACAAGTCAGAGGACCAAACTAAATTTTTCATTGCTTTAACACTAATAGCCACAAGCAATTGTAAGTTGAAAATTTTGATGTTTCCAGTGTGCTTGCAGAAACCTTCATACTCTATACAACTTTTGGTCAGTTTTACTGTTTATTTTACAGACGTTTGGCAACAAGCGGTAACAACAAGGGGTTTTTTGCCAAAGCGGGTAGGTGGGCACCCTTTAATATCACAATATCCCCTGTGTTATAGTGAATTAAGCATTCTTCACAGGGTTCACAAATTCACTAGGGAGCTTAGAACGTAATGACGTCAACTAAAAGTCATTTGCGCATGCGAAAACGTTAAGGTCACCTTGTCAAATAGATTCTGGAATGCAATTTGGCCAAATCTACGTATGCAGAGAACGTAGGACGCCAGGTGTGACGGTCACGCATGAGTGAGTCCGTCCTAGCATCGTGTCTTCGCACAAATCGAAAGCTCCCTACTATGTGTTTTGCTGGAACAAAAATATTTTTTTGTATGATAAGGCACGTTCACGTAAACTTTTGTGATAACGTTATCATGATCTATACATCATGATAACTTTAGCATGTTAGAGAAAACCATTCATAAACATAGAAACCACATCATGATCTGTTTATGGTAATGATGCAGTGTTGCATAAAAAACTACCAAGAAGCAAAACCAGTGAGGTTGTCTCAAACGTCAGACCGTTTAATAAACTGAATGCTGATTGCTTGGAATTCGATCTCATGAATTAATTTATCATATTATTGTTAATCATGATGATTCAAGATGCTCCAGTAGATCACAATGCTGATTATGCTGAGCACATTATTTGATTCTGGTAGGTTCACATGCTTGTGGTCCCCTGGATCATGATAAACTCTGAATGTGAACCCAGCTATGGACTTAGACAAAATTGTGTTCCTGATAACACAAGATTATATTTTATTTTTTAATATTTTTTTTATTATAAACTCTGAATGTGAACCCAGCTATGGACTTAGACAAAAATTGTGTTCCTGATAACACAAGATTATATATTTTTTTTTAATTTTTTTTTTTATGCGAAGCATATAGAAGCTTTTCCTTTCATTATGCACTATACAACTACAATTGTAAAATTAATATTATTAGTAGGCAAGACCATTACCTTTCAGAAAGGCATACACAGGTAATAGGAAATGTAAAGCATTATAGATGGTAGCTATGATGTGCCTTGCAAATTACTGTAAACTATCCTTTACTCTAACTAAAAAATGCATCAACATAATATGCAACAAACAGTGGTGCAAATCAAGAATATTCTCATAAAAACTGGGTTTTAAACATCTCCTTCCCATGGGAATCAAGCATTTTCTACCAATGCTCCATCTTTATGCTTCCCGGTAGACTAATATAAACATGATTATATTCTATAAATAAACATGTGACATGCCTAAATATGGTCATGATGACATCACATCATGATATCTATAGAGTTTGATAGTTTGGACCGAACCCCACCCCCCCCCACTTTTCCAAAGCTTGTCTCTCCCCGGCTTGGACTTGCGGCCTTCTGATGACTCTACACGCCAAAGTACAACTCTTGCCATGCCTGTCGGGGACGTTGCCCTGCCGTCGGAGAAATCTTAGTGCCGCCTCTGATGATGACCATTGTAATATGGACAATTCACATACTGCATATTCATAAACTTAAAACTTGATAATGTGGCATTTTCTGTGTAAACTTTATGAAAGTGCCGTTGAAAATAATTTCATATTTTAAACATAATTTCATTATGATTAACAGTGTTATAAAACTAATTTGATTCAGGATTTCAAAATGTTGGTTCTATATATGCATGATGGTCTGCATATCAAAGAGGAAAATTACTTGTTCAGCATACTAATTGTTAAACTTAATTTCCAAATTACCGTAATATATAAATAATTATGTCACACAATTTTTGTTTGTTTTTATCGATGATATTTGGATTTTTTCTCAATAGACCTCTTTCAATGTTTTGGTTTAAAATTCAGCAGTAACTCCTGAGGACGCTATAATGATAGGCAAAAGATACCCGATATATAGGTATTAAAATACAGAGGAACTTAGGATGCTGGTTATGTTTTGTCTTGTGTGAGATATAGCATGACTATATATGTATTTTAGGATTGATGAAAAAATAAAACAAAATATAATTTTTAGAAAATTATTGAAGTCATTCTAGAGAAACTGTTGTAAACATCGCAAGAGCTGAAAAACATGGTAACTTGCAACAACCACCTGATGCTTGTTGGGGGTTTTAGATGCCAGGCCTAACATGATTTCTCTCTATTTATTTCGATATGGATGTATTATACTTTTGTAATATTGTCTTTATTCTTGTTTTTTTAAAAAGACAAGTATACAAAAAATGTATAGAAAATTTATGAATTATCATGTATATACTGCATACTTAATATAATATAATAAATGTATATATGTAATGTATACACATGTGTATATAGTAAATATATGTATAATGAAATATATTTTTTATTGTATACATATATATAATGGTAATGGATGTATGCATGTGTGTGTATATATATATGAAAGAGAGCTGCAATTGCAATGTATAAACAAATAAGTACAAAGGCGTAAAACGTTCATCGTACGATATTGCCAATATTTATTCAAAATTATACATTTTGAGCAAAGCTCTTCTTAGTTAAGAAACGAATTAAGTAGAAAGTAAATTTTCGAAAAAATTCGAGATTTAGGGCACCTTTGATAAGAGACAAATTCAGAAATGAGTTATGTAAGCCATGATAAATGGATGAACACCATTCAAAATAATGAATTGTGAGATGTGTTCAGTATGGTCCACAGAGGGCTCACATGCAATGTGATGGTTTTTGATTTTAAATTGCTGCTGTTTCTATAAACTCTCTATTAAATCATATTGTTCTCTTGAACCGTTGTACCCATATATGGTGCTGCGACCACACACCGGATCTTAAAATTGCACTAATGTCCTGCATCTTTGATGTTTGCCTTTATACTGTATTGTGTTTAATAACTATATTAGAATTTTTTTGCTCCCAGTGTTTGAAAAAATTATATTTTTTTATTACATGAGAACATAATAGTTAAGAAACAAATTAAGTAGAAAGTAAGTAAATTCGAGATTGAGGGCCCCTTTGATAAGTTTATCATACAATAGTAAAAGACAAACTCAGAAATGAGTTATCTAAGCCATTATAAATGGATGAACACTGTTCAAAATAACATGATGAATTGTGAGATGTGTTCAGTGTGATCTATAGAGGGCTCACATGCAATGTGATGGTTTTTTCATTTAAATTGCTGTTTCTACAGACTGTCCATTAAATCACATTTTTCTCTTGAACAGACATAACTATATATGGCGCTGCAAGCACACACTGGACCTTAATATTGGACTAATGGCTTGCATTTTTTTGGTGTTTGTCTTTATACTATATTAACTATATTAGAATTTATAAAAACCTCATTTTATATTGACTGAATAATTTGCAATTCAAGTGAAATTTAAAATTTCATGTCCAGTGTTGTACATAAAGTGTTCAAACATACTAATATTGTATCTGAGTTGGGCTTAAAACTTTGAAAAAATTCCAATTTGAATAGCTTTGTATATGCAAATGAGTCACGGTAACAGGATTTTTTCTCATAACCAAAACAACTCCACTCCCGAAGCCTCAATGAGTTAGTTTATGTAGAACATCTTATGATTGTTTGTCTTGTGAAGGGATATGCCACTTCGAGTTCGCTGTTTGGCATATCCTTGGCTTGGGCCTAAAAAAAATTATTAAAATATAAATAAAAATAACAAATAAACTTGACCATTCATTTGAAAATTAGAATAAGAAAATATTTTACTAACCAATATACAGGCACGTGAAGACTACTGTTGATGTTTCTTGTACGACCTTAAATTAATAATATTAGAAAATTGTTTTTATAGTTACCAAAAATCTACTTATTGTAATCTGTGTCCTGTTGGAGGATGTAACTTATTTTAACCTTTTATTAAATAGGTATTAATGTTTTGAGAGTTTTTACAATTTTTGTCATAGACAGTATATTAAAGTTTATAATTGCCAAATTTATTTTTTATTGCAAGATTAATGATTAATAAAAGGGTTTGAGAGAAGAATATTCATTGACGTAAGGAGAGTGTGTTTAAAGTCACTCACAATGAACTATGGAATGAAATGTTAAGTAAACCAGAGATACCCTTAGCCTGGATTCCAGTCCATAATTAAATTATATGAATTACTTGATTGGTGGCGCTATACCGAATAGAAATAGACTTGGATATTATATTTTTTATAACGTTATTTTTATGTTTTTAAGTAGTAATCAGGTGTGGGAAGTAACACTTTTGAGGGTGCTGCATAAGTATTATACTGTAAGATTTATTGTGCTGTTGTTACATTGCTCCCCCTTCAAAAGAAGTAATGCTCTGGGGACGCCCATTGTATTTTATGTTCATTGTTATGGTAGAAATAAATTCGTTTTTGCCAACTTGTATCTGATTGGTTGCAATATGACAATAAGAAGATTATTTGATTATCCTAATTGCTCATTTATATAATTAATTACTTATGAATAAATGAAACTGCACGTTTGTTTCCACACTATGACAAATATTTCTATGAAAAAATAGGTGTAGAAGATTGGCCCTAATTGCAAAATTTACAGTAAGTTCAACCTCCCACATATTATACAATGAATGTTGTTGACATAAAGTGCCCGTGAGTTTAATGTAAGCAAAAAGATATACACAAAATAAATTACTGCCTTATACTGTACCGGTAAGTCTAGGTTTAAGTGTTTGTTCATATTAATAAAATGTTGTAAATTTCATGAATATAATCTATATGATGAAGTTTAAAATATTAGTGTTGTTTTGAATGATTTATATTTTAAGACTCTTCTTATTTCCTAATCTTAAGAATTTTTTTTGTAGATTGGAAATCATTCATACAATGTGAAAATGAGCAAATAAATATTTTTAAAAATCTTAGATTGTTTTTGATCATTTCTGTAACATGATTGTTTTCAGAAATACACCGGGTTTCTAGAGCCGCATAGACTAATAGATGTGGACGACATGAGTTGCTGTACAGGGTTACCGGGTAGCACAGACACGAAGGGACCCTTAGGGGCAAAGAAAGTCTAATATTAGATGGATACAGCGCTATATAAAACTACACTATTATTATTATTATTATTTATTATTATTATAATGGGCTTAATCTCGTGAAGCCCATCCCGAATTAAAGCGCCCTCTTTAGTTTGCATATGTAGCCTGGAAATAAAGAAGCATTACAGTACATACTGTACACTGTACAAGAATTTTAAACAAACAGAATAAATTAAAAACACGCTTTTAATTGATGTTACAGTGGCCCTATTTATTATTTTTTTATAGTAGTAATTCCCAAAATTGAAAAGAAGCCCCCCTATTTACTTTGCAAATGTAGCCTCGAAAAGAAACCCATCTCGAAAAGAAACCGAAATCTACTATAGTAAACCATAATGCCTCCGACAACAGTAGAGGGAATACGTTGCAGTGTACTATCAGGGGCGGATTGGGGGGGGGGGCCCGGCCCCGGTTTCCCCCCTTTTGGGAGGTAAAAAAAATGAAGAAAAAAAGAAAGAAAAAGAAAAAAATGATAGGCCACAACGCCTC